AAGGAAAAATATTTTTCTTGTGCTCTGTCAATAAGAAGGAAAAAAGAAGGGTGCTGTACTTTGCAGTTAATGGAAGAGTCTGATCCATGTCAAGAACATGGTGACTAAATTGACAGTAATTTCTGAAATAAACATATTTTTCATGTTAAACATCAGCTTTTGGTTTTGTCTTCTTTTTTTTTTTTTAATTTTACTGAGGTATAGTGAATGAAACCAGGAAGAAAACAATGTTCTTACTATAAAACTAGCTTTCTGCTGCCTCCCCTGACTCTTTATGAAACTGCCTTCCTAACAGGAGAAAGTAAATTTTACACAGAAAAGTTACTTGACTTATTTTTTGTTATTAGCTGCAAGTCCTAAGGCTTTCTTTGAAGAGCTGCAGATAAAAATCTTCTTGTTTTCCTTGCCTTCTTCTTTTATGACAGTAGATATTAGTGTGCAAAGAGAGCACAGGAGGGCAACTCCTTTCATTCTTTTTTGCCTTTACTCCCTGTGCCGCATTTTTCAGAGGGATGGATTGATGAAGAAGATGCAGCAGAAAAAAACCATCCAGGTAAGGATCTTTTTGGTATGTAGTAATAGTAGCTGGTACAGCATTATAAATGTGGCTGCTTTTGACCGCAGCAGATATAATGCCATTATAGAAAGATGCCTTACCGATATTTAAAATTCTTTTCTCTTAATTGAGCTTGTCTTGAGAACATACTGTTGCTTTCTGGAAAAGTAACTGACACTGGAAGTTAAAATGGCTTATTGTTGCTCACCTCACAGAACACTTAGCGTTTTATTTCTTTAAAACCATCTTCCTTTGTTTCCTTTGCTGATGATGATACTTAGCAAGCAAAGCGTTTGATCACCGTTGTTTTTCTGTTTGCATGCATTAAGGCTGCCTGGCTTTTAAGGACAGCACAGTTCCTTCAGTAGAATTCTTCCAGCAAAACCCATAGTAACTCTGTTATCATCAGGAAAGATGATAGGAAAGATTTAGAATTCACCCAATAAAGAGTAAAAAAAATTTTGGATGGTAATGGGTTCTGTTGAGGCAACTATAAGAGAAATAACTCTCTGTAGCTATAGGACTCGCTGTCAGTGTAGAGCTGTTACTCTCCAATACCTGTTGCTAGTAGCTTTTATACATAATTTTTATTTAAATAAATATAAGCAATTTCAGATGAGGATAAATATTCTGGATTTTATTTTGCTCAAACAAGATTTGTCTGTTTTAATGGAAGTGATAGCATAATGTGGTATTGGATGTATTTGGGGCTCTGATCTTGGATGTAAGACATAGTATATTTGGCTTTGAGGTTTTGTCTTTGTAAGGTATAATGAGCATACATCATAGCCCGAAAATAATAATAAAAAAAAATTAATGAATCAAAACCAATAATCCATAATCCAATTTCTAACCAAAAACATTTAATGAAAAGCAAATTTTGTGCCTATGTTTAATGTATGCAGGGAAGTTCGGCTGCTTAAAACCTCAAAATGAAATGTGAAACAGGACAGCATTTACTTTCATGCAGATTTACAGAAAAACCCTCTTTGCTTTTAACAAATGTAACTCTGATTGCAGCAGAAAGCAACTAATTGATTAACATTTAGGTGATTATTCTTCAAAAGTATCACCCACGCACTTGTTTCTAGTGAGATCACAAAATTTCATTTAATGCTCTTAGAAGAGCAACCGGGCTCCTCCCTCCATCCCTCCCCCAGGCATCCCAATACAAAAGAAAACTTTCTGCATGGGAGGTAGATAGGAAATTCTTTCGAAAGGGATGATGAAGGTGAGAAAATGAAGACTTTCTGTCTTTCTGAAGATACAGGCTAGCTGAAATTAGCTTAACAGATCAGTGTGAAAGTTTTTGTTTTGAAGGGCTTGTAAGTATTTCATTTTGCTGAATACTTGTATACTGTGAGAAATCTAAATTGATAATTTTCCTCATTTAAAACTATGTATGTTTGATCAAAATATTCGGGGAAGTATGTATGTAGGAGTGTGTATACATATGTATGTATAAAAATGTATGTGCACACATGTTTTTAAGTCTTAGATGTGGTTTTATTTTAGGTACACATAGCATGTGTGTAAGAAAATGTGCCTTTCATGTAGAACTACTATATTCCTGTAAACATGTATCTCTTTCTGTAGTTTACATATGGAAATATAACATTTTACTAACCAATACATTTCTCATTAATTACTGACTACTTTTTGTTTTATTTTGTTATATAGGCTTTTGTACTATCTGATTTATACTTATCTTGACATAGTGGAATTTCTTTACCTATACAAATCTGATATGTTTTTATCACAAAAAATGCTGGTGAGTGATTTTTCCAGGATGTTTAAATAATGCACAGTCTAGCCTGTTCCACACATTTCTGAATTTGGAGGTAATGAGTGAATAGATTTTATTATATTAATATTGTGGATAACTTTCTGCATCTGTTAACAAAAAAAACTACCAGCCCCCTCCCCCTAAAAAACCAAACCAAACCCAATACCCACAGCAAAAAAACCCAAAACAACAAAACAAAATGAATAAAAAAACCTCACTGGTAGATATTTATCCAACATAAAGTTTTTGCTGGAGCAGGGGGCGTTGAGTGGGAAGCGGAGAGTAGGAGACCGAGAAATGGCCATGTATTTCAGAAACAGCAGTAGTCCAATAAAATGTCCAAGTTCGATTTTACAAAGGACTAAAATCTGTTAAATCTGTTGATAATTATTGGTAGCTAAACAGAAGAAAATGGTGATCAGAGAGCAGAAGTATTTTCTCTTTATTGAAACTGAGTAGCTGATAGCAGTAGCTTTTTGCAAGGTATTGTGCAACGCAGAACAGAGAGAATTGCTAGCCTAGTTCATAAAGTGTTGCTGTGAGCTGCTTTCTCATTTTTTCTTATTCCAGATGAACAGATGAAAAGTGGTTTTTCTGACAGAAAAATATTTGAGGTACATGTAAGATAGTGTTTTGATTCTTTTTTTCAATCACCTTTTTTGTGGAATGTAAGTTACTTCTTTTAATACTGGGCATTCGTACTCAAAATCTTAACTAAGTAATGCAGATCATTGGGTTGCTAACATCCACTTCTCCTTTTATGGGTCATTTATCTTTCTGTATATCTGGCCTATGTGTTAATATATATTGGTGTATTTTTAAGGTGTGAAAACGGCTACCAGTTTTGTTGATATAGCTGAAGAGGCCATCTTGTTCCATGAATTCCAGTTGAATGTGATATGTGCACTTAAGTGTGGTTAAGTACTCCTTCCTGAACTACTTGGAAATATCTGTTTCTGGATGTTTTATTATTGTGTGGAAGATTTACTAAAATTTGCTTATGCAAATGCCCTTTTAAAATGAGTTTTGACAAATACACAGATTTGTCACAACAAGCTTTTTGGAAATACTGTGGGTAAGAAGGAATAGAGCTCTTGACTAGAGCACAGATTTTAGTAATTCTATTTCTATGGTGGTAAATCTTGTGGTACATATAACACATGTTTTGTTCTTTATATTTATTTGTTAATTTTAAGATACGTTTTGACATAAGCAGACAGTTATCTGATTTCATGCTTTCAGAGAAAATCCTACTGCAGGGACACATTTTTATTCTTTATGCCCATGTGAAAAAAATCAACTAAATGTATACTAAAACAAAACTAAACAGATAGTTTACCCTTTATGTTTTCAGATCCACATGCTCATAGGGTGGTTATTGACAAAGGAGTGGATACAACTTGTTTTTAAAATCCCAGAAGAGGAAAAAAATAAATAAATCCCCTAAACAAAAACAAAAAATCATTGCACAATGATTCTGCCTCCAAGCAGTTATATATTCTATTTAAAGAAATGTATCTATGCCTTTAAAGGAGAGAGCTGTAATTACAAGAGAGTTGTTGGTTCTCTAACATGGTCCACATGTGAGCTCACAAAACTGAAGTGGCACAGCTGGACCTCAGGCAATCAGAAACGCGGAGTGTCTTAAAGCCTCATCGCTGACCAGAAATGATTATTGGTTGGGAGCAATTGGTTTTAATGTGAGTCAGAAAGGACGAGTCATTCTGTAATGGGTCAAAATTGTCTTCATCTTTTGTGGAGAGGAGGACTGCAGTCATCAAAATTACTATCATCTACAGTAATGCGGTGAACTCGGGCCAGAAGTCATTAGTAACTGAATACTTACGTGATTTACCTTGAGTCAGTTCAGTGCTTCACCCTTCCCCTCTGTCAATGATTTAAAGTCAAGCAGAATAATTGAAAATAAATACTTGAGGGTAATCAGCTAACCCCCAAAAGAATTACAATGTTTGTGAATATGTGAGAAGATAATTTTCTTCTTTTTTTTTTTGTCACGTTTACCTTTTCCCAGGCTGGTATGGGAGAAAAAATTGACCCATACCTGTCACCATGAATAAACAAGTCAATGGCTTGCATCAATAGATAATAGTAACAATTTATTTTTCCAGTGATGTGTGGGAAAGGCTAGTTATTAAACAAATAGACAAAACCAAGATCTCCAGAAACAGCAGACAAGTGCAGAGCCACAAAGCATTAAGGCACATGTGAAATTCTAGGAGAGACTAATCTTCCTGTTGGCACAGAGTTGTGAGGAGGATGATATGAAATTCACTTGATTATTTGGTTTGTAGTTGTCCTTTGTGGCGTCTTTAGGTTGTTTAAATTCTGTATAAATCAGTAGTTACGGAACTACTTGAGAGTTGATCCATGGTCAGGGCACTTCCTAGTGAAGTTTATTTTGTGGAATTGCTGATCCCTGGCTTTTCTAAGCACATAGAAAAGAGCAGTCACAAGCAAAATTAAGCATAGTAGCTGTCCCAGTTTTATCACTGGTGTTACTGTGATTTTTTGGAAACTGTGTAATAAATTATTCCTAATTACTAAGATTTCAAGTTGTGTATTATTTCTGTTATTCTCTAATTGTCAATAGTTTTCTAAGTTACGTCTAGCGGTGGAAACAAATATACAGAAGGCAGAATGGATCCCTTGTTTTGGCCATCAGAAACTAGCAGCTTTCGACGTTTCACTCCTGAGTCCTTGGCAGCAATTGAGGAAAGAATTGCTGAGAAAAAAGAGCAGCAAGACAAAGTTAACCAGAAAAATAAAGACCAAGGAGCTGAAGAAGAAAAACTTACTCCACAGCTTGACCTAAAAGCCTGCAAAAAACTTCCATCCTTGTATGGGGATCTTCCTGTGGAGCTCATTGGGGAACCTCTGGAAGATCTTGATCCATACTACAGTGATCACAAGGTTAAAACTTTCAAAAGCATTTTTTTTTTAATTTTAATTTTGTCTATGAAATCTTAAAAGATAGTAACAGTTCTATTCAGGAGTAAAAAAGTAAAAGTTCTATTCAGAAGATGCTGGGTTTTACAGTTCTGTAGACAGGTCATCCAACATTGCTAGCATTTCTGAGGGCAGGATTACTAAGGTATGTTCCACCTTATGTAATAAAAAGGTATTTTTAGTTTCAGTCAGCAATCAGAATTATGAAAACATGATACACTTGATAGGTATGCTTTAATAGGAAATATATTCTGGGGTAACCGATGCTTTGTTTTCCAGAGCAGTTTCTGTGCTGTCTGTGTGTCTGAACTCACTGGTCATGTAAACAGTGCTTGCCGCAGTAGATCATGCTGGAATTGCTGACTTGCTGCAGATACTTTTGCAGAATTATAAAAACCATAGAAACGAGGGGAGACATACAGTACTCTGTGTAGCAAACTCATATATTTTGCTTCCAGTAAATTTGTTTTCTGTTATTTTATGTCTCATCATCGTTTATTGCATATACTCCGTGATATTGCAAAGTGTTTTTTGTTGTCACCCACGGGAATGTGTAAAGCAGATGCTTTGTTCTTCCAGAATTGTTTGTTGTGTTGGTTTTTTTTCCTCAAAGTAATCAAAGTGATATTCTTGAAGACAAAGGGTGATTAAGTTGAAGAAGTTTACATTAAAGTTAGCGAACTGTGCTTTCAATTCAAGAGATTTCACTTTTCACATGGCAAAAGTACTGAGCTGCATGGACTTCAAGGTAGCTTAGAGAGGATTTACACTGTTACTTTAAAAATTTGGTGATATTTCAAAATTAAATCTTTTGGTTTGACTGGACTGGATTCCGGCAGCCTTATAGGATATGTATTTTGTAAGTCATCTTTCGTAGCCTATAAAACTATCCAAGAATAAGATGCTTTGGAGAGTGATTAACACCATTGTTGTCCCAGAACAGTGTCCTTTAATCCCTTTGACTAAGTGAATGTGATCACTTGCCCTTCAAATTCATTCCCATTACTACTTCTTCCTCACAGGCTGTAGTGAACTCTTATAGAGCTGATATCTCTCTTTCAAAATGTGGTATCATCAGGTGACAGCTCCGAGTAAGAATAGTGGAAAGCTTTACTCAAAATTGCAGTTAGATGTAGTTCTAGATGTGGATTTGAAAATCTAAACATTTAGTTTGCGGGCAAAATATTGTTTTGTTAAAATACTTCATATACTGTGAATTTATTTTTTTTTTTTTAGACTTTCATGGTGATAAATAAAAGGAGGACTATTTTCCGGTTTACTGCCACGCCTGCCTTGTGTATAGTTGGGCCTTTTAATCCAGTAAGAAAAGCAGCAATTAAAATTATGACTCATTCATATCCTTTTATTGGTTCTCATTTCGATTTTAAAAGATACTGTACCATTTCCCGTTGTTCTGTTTGTCGGTTAGTTTTAATGTAATTGTAAGCTCATTGGGCCATGATAGACGTTTTGAAAAAGTTATACTGAATCTTGTTTTGCAACAGCTAAGATACTTAAGTGGTGTTTGTATAAGAAAAAAAAAGTCAAAAAGTTGACATTTAAATCAGATTTGTAGATACAATTATGAAACAACATTTATAAGCTACTGTATGATATTTTAGCCCTCTTCCAGAACTTTTTCTAAATGTCAATTGTGGACAAACTAAAATAAAAAAAAACCCAAACAAACTCAAATAGTGACTCCCTAGTTATTAAAATATGAACGATGTGATTTATGGCAATTCTTTCTTGAAAGAGTCTGGTGTTATCCTAAGAAAAGCGTTTCACAGTCAAGTTTAGAAAGTACGGAAGAGTGCTCATATTTTATATTTTTGAAAACAGTGTAAAACTAGAGTGAAGAATGTAAAAATGCGAAGGATTACAGGTGCAAAACTGTAGGCTGAGTAGTTTGGCTCTTTCTGCCAAACATCTGTTTTCATTTGAATTTGTTAATTCTAAATTTAAAGCCAATTTTTTTTTTAGAAAAAAACAAACACTTTTATTGTGTGGCAAATGAACTTTCATTAAATGATGGTGTTTTTTATGTATGTTTTCATCTCTGGCCACATAAAATTAGAATGTTTTCTGAAGTTGTGCCACATCACAGGTGTCTCTTTTAAGAATGTATATATGGAATCACAGTTTCAAAAAACCCACTGGTTATTGATAAATAAGCCTTTTCGTCTGGTTTTCGTAGGCTTTTAGCTGTGGCCCATTTCTCTTTATTCCATGTTTCTGCTGGGAGGAAATGGAGGTTTCTAAAGTTTTAAATAACATTAAAAAGCAGAGGACTCAGATTTTTTTTCATTTATTTATCTCCCTCATTTTTTTCTGTCAGACACATGATTTTGCACTAGTGTCCTAATTTCCAAAACTATCTCTACATGCAGATAATTCATTGATGTTTTTAAATTGTGAAGTTTACCCAGCTGAGCAAAAGTTTGATCTGGCATCAGTTTCTTTGGAAAACACATGAAAAGTCCTGAGCATCTTCAAAACCATAGTAATTATATGAATAACTGTATGTTTGGATTTTTTTCTGTGTAAATCAACAACTTTTCTGAACTTTTTCCTTAACTTTCCTTCCACATTATTTGTTGGCTTTATTACATGTATTGTGGTACTCAATTGTGCTTCCATGGCTGTAACTAAGCTTCCAAAGCCACTTGAGTGGACTGAGTAAGTATCTTCGTTGGTATTTGCTCGCTCTTTTTCTAACAATGCTAACATGCTGAACTGAACAATTTAAATAAGGTGGTGATTTAAGTCTGGGACTTAAATTCTCAGACAGACCTCTGAGGAAGATCTAGGATTATTATAATCATATCACACAGTCTTCCTTGGAGCTTCAGTGCCTTTTCTTAGAGGCTTACACTGTATGCCCTTTTCTCTGCATTGGCTAATTTTGCCATCTGGTGTCACATAGGTTGCCCTATTTTTCTTTTGAAGGATTAAGCCTTTTAAAGAGACTGCAGCAGGATTCTGACAAGATCTCTCACTCTGTGTCAATAACCCCAATGTCTGTTATGGCCAGCTCATGCAAAAATAAGGCGTAAATATTCATTCCAGTCTTGTTTCCTGGGAACACCCCTGGTTCAGTTGTTCACATTAGGAAGCCATGTATTTATAACATCTTGTAACCTTTGGTAACTGTGATTTGTATCCAGTGTAACTTGCCTTACTATTCCGGAATTAAATCCTGAAAACTTGCCTGGGGTCTCAGAAGTTCTATAATTTTAATTCTTATTTTGGGGTAAGCATGGCGATGTTGATAGCTTAATTTTCTGTAGGATTTCTTTCAGTTATAGAGTGTTTGTCAGAATAAATGTATATAGTGTGCAAACTTTACAGTCTAAACTAGATCTTTGCTGTTATTGTTCTGCCAAAATGTTGAGGTTTTGAAATTTTCCAGCCTGCTTTAGAACGTAAACACAGTCATAAGTAAATGTGAGCTATCCTTCATCCAGAAATAATATGGTCTGCTTATGTGAACATTTGTGATTATAGATTTAATGGAAATCTTATTGAAATTCAGTAAGGCATCTTCTTATACACCTGATGTTTCTGAAAGTAATGTAACCTCTCCTATTTCACTTCACGTTTTCTACCTTCATCTCCATCCAGTGATTAAATCATACAAAAGGTAGGACTGTGCCTGAATGCATCATATTTTTATTTCTATAACTTTCTGTCTCAGGTATCTGTTTATTGTCATATACACTGGTGAAATATTGATAAAAATATTAGCAAGAGGATTTGTTTGGAATGAATTTGCCTTTCTTCGAGATCCATGGAACTGCCTGGATCTTGTTGTTACTATTGTGAAGTAAGTAAAAGTCAGTTATTCTTTTGCACTCAAGGGAAAAACATGGAGATAAAATGCAATTTGATATCGCTGAAGTTCTTTAGAGTGGTTGCATATGTGCAAAGAGAAAAATAGTCACAGACCTTAAGGCAGGACCTAAATGCAAAGCTCATCTTAGAACTCTTTGGTTGTTCTGAATTTAGTACATACTTAAATTTTGTTAAGAGGCAGCTGCATAGACAGCCAAAACCAAACATACCTCTTTATATTGTCTCGGTTGTACTCTGGATCAGAAAAAACTCATCTGAGAAGGATCCAAAGTGGGTCGCAAGGTGTTGAATTATATGGTGATAAAAAACAGATGAAATCCCAAGAATGTAAAGTGCTGCTCAGGAATACACAGACCTAACTTTACATACATGGCTTAATTTTACAGATACGTTAGTCTGAGTAAAAGTATGGGCAAGGTTTCAGCTCTTCGAACTTTCAGAGTACTGAGGACTTTGAAAGCTATTTCAGTAATACCAGGTAAGGAAAAACAAGACTTAAGAACGTTCTCTCACCTTCAGCAGCACACTATTTCTCATTCCTCTCCTTTTCTTCAGTTTTCTGGTCACTGTTTGCGACAGTTAACGAGATCCCAAGGTGTGGCTATTTTGCAGTCTGTACTAGTTCTCAGCAGCATCCTGATAGAATATTTATCATCCTTCCTCAAGATGATTTTGATTCAGGCAAATTTTTGTATTTTATGCTTTTTCTATTGCATCCTTAATGCTAATTTTACTTAGCCTAGTGCACTATTCAATGCATTGTCTTAACATAATATGCATATACCGCCTGACAACGCTTTTCCTTTCGTACTTGCCATGGAGAACAAAAATTTAAATGTAATTTTACTTTTTTGTTGTTTTGAAAAGCTTTTAGAAAAATCCTGGTTATCACTCTGCCTATGTCGTATTTTAACCTGACAACGCTTTTCCTTTCGTACTTGACATGGAGAACAAAAATTTACATGTAATTTTACTTTTTTGTTGTTTTGGAAAGCTTTTAGAAAAACCCTGGTTATCACTCTGCCTATGTCGTATTTTAAATTCAGTTATTCTGCCTCAACATTGGTCTTCAGTTCATAGATAACCTATTTTCACAGAATCACAGAATGTTTGGGGCTGGAAGGGACCTCTGGAGGTTCACAGAATCATAGAATCACTATGGTTGGTAAAGACCTTCAAAATCCTCAAGTCCAACTGTTACCTAGCTCTGCCAGGTCCAATTCTAAATTATGTCCCTAAGCATGGGTCCAGCCCACCTGCTCAAGCAGGGCTACCAAGAGCCAGTTGCCCAGGACCATGTCCAGGCGGCTTTTTAATATCTCCATGGATGATGAGACTCCGTAACATGGATGATGAGACTCTGCAACCTCCCTGGGCAACTTGTGCCAGTGCTCTGTCACCTTCAGAGTAGAAAAGTGTTTCCTACTTGTTCAGATGAAACCTCCTGTGTTTCAGTTTGTGCCCACGGCCCTGGTCCTGTCACTGGGAACCACTGAAAAGAACCTGGCTCCATCCTCTTTGCACCCTCCCTTCAGATATTTGTAGACATTGACGAGGTTCCCCCTGAGATTTCTCTTCTCCAGGCTGCACAGCCCCAGCTATCTCGACCTTTCCTCATGGGAGAGGTGGTCCAGTCCCTTCATCATCTTTGTGGCTCTTTGCTGGACTTTCTCCAGCAAGCCATGTCTGTCTGGTAGTAGGGAAGCCAGAACTGGACCCAGTACTCCACGTGTGACCTCTGTAGTTCTGAGTAGAGGGCAGTGATCACCACCTTGACTTGCTGGCCATGCATTGCCTCATTTGTCACGTTTGTCTACATTGTTGGTTAATGTTTGACTTGGTGTCCACCAGAGCCCCGGGGCCTTTTATACTGAGCAATGCAGCCCCGGATACCGTTACACCTCATTTGTCACGTTTGTCTACATTGTTTGTTAATGTTTGACTTGGTGACCACCAGAGCCCCGGGGCCTTTTATACTGAGCTGCATTCCAGATGGGTGATCCTTAAGATATTATTGTTCTCTTTCCCATGTCACAAATGTTCTTTTGCTTTTTAATGGATAACTTCTCTAATGTATTATCTTCTAAGACAGAATTCCCTGAGGTCAGCACAAATGATCATTTCTTGTAATGTGTATTTGGCACAATGTGAAGTACTTGTTTAAATTGATCAAGCACAGACATCTGTCCATATTCATTAAAGTCCATAAGAGTTTGCTTAGATGCCATCTTAATTTAAAATTTTCAAGTTAGAAAAATTAGTGTTAGAAGGAACTAAAAGTCAAATAAATTATGATTAGGAAATCTAAGTAAAAATACTTTTCTTATTCCTATGCCTTATTTTACCTCATTTAATACCCTTAAGTTACAAATCATTTACACTAATTACTTTTAACATACTTGCAACTTTTGTATATTGTCATAGGGGAACACTGCTGCATTCCTCTTCTCATTTTGCATATTATTGAATTATTTTTCTAGGTCTGAAAGTCATCGTAAATTCACTTATTGAGTCTGTTAAGAAGCTTACTGATGTGTTGATCTTGACTGTTTCTTGCTTGAGTGTATTTGCTCTAATAGGCCTCCAGCTTTTTATGGGCAATTTAACATCCAAATGTGTCCTCACTAACGCTACGTACAATGACACATTATGTAAGGATGCCAAGATATACGTACCAAGTGATGAAGGTAAATTTTATTCCCTTCTCCCTTTAGGTAATCTGTGTATCTTCCTATGTGTGTTTGGTTTTTTTGCAGAGATGTTAAAACTGAACGGGAGATTAGTGCATCTTGGATTTGGAGAAAGATTAGCAGTCTGTGGGATAGGAGGGACTGAGTTTTCTATAAGCATTTTCTTCTTTACCTACGTACACTGCACAAGGGTCCTAATTTTCGGGGTACAGCACAGAGAATTATTTTTTCTGTCCCTTAATCTGTATAATTCAGGGATTTTGCCTGCTTCTCACAGAGATTCTTCTTTTTACCAGAGACCAAATAAAATCTTGCATTGTGAATTGTGCAGTTTACATATATATATATATTTTAAACAAAAAAATTGCCATGAGGACAGATCTGCAGAGAAACAGCCCTGTACACCCTTTGCTGTGAAAGGAGTCTTTCACAGAGATTCAGTCTATTAGGGTGGTTTTTAAAGTGGAGTAATGCATAGTTTACTGTCAGAGTGCTGTAGGAACTGACAACTTCTGATTTTATGATTCCTTGATATATTTTTTTAATTAGATATCTGCTACAGGATGAATAAGTCTTCCGAAATACTGCTCTGTGGGTTCAGTTCAAATCCCAGGTAAGTGAACGAAACAGCTCTGGTACCTTCTTATTTTTAACTCCAGGTGTATGATGGTTTTACTTTTGGCCTACAGGAATTGTGATGATTTTGCAGGAGGGCAGAATGTGTGTGGGTTATTAAATTAAAAACCAGATATTTCACATCAGAAAAAGAATTAAGTACTAGGATACAAGCAATTATGTATTGTTCCTAACCAGTGGTAATATAATGGTGATGTAGAATGATATAAAAGAGGAGCAGAACAGATCAGTAGAGTTGTGAGATATTAATAAACTCTCCTAATTGTTGATGAATTATTTAGAAGTAAACATATTTCCTTTTCTTCCCCCTCTTTGTGTATTTGTTTGCATGTATCCTACATCAGTGGAGTGTCTTTTCTTTGACTAGAGAAGTGTCTTTCTAGGATTGCCTGATATAAATCAACCCTTCTGGTGGAGTTATATTAGAGAAGAATGAAATAGACTTTCAGATAAATGGAGAAAACATATATTTGATGTTGTGTACTGGGTGCTTTCAGTTACAATCTAATACTGCAAGTAATTTTTGTTTAACATGCCTTTTGTGGTTAGAAAAGAGTGCCCAGAAAACTATACCTGCATGAAGATTGGGAAGAATCCTGACTTTGGTTATACAAGTTTTGATCATTTTGGCTGGGCCTTCCTTTCTTTATTCCGTCTGATGACACAGGATTGCTGGGAGCGTCTCTACAGACAAGTATGTACTTTACTACCTGCTAGAGTGACTTTGCACATTTAGTTTTGAGCCCAATTTCATGACTGTATAATCCTCACATTGATCCTTATTACCGAGTTTTATTAATTTGGTCTTTACAGCTGTAGTTGTCCTCTCATAACTTAAACTCTGGTGATCTTTTGCCCAGTTAGCTGAGAGATATTTACTTTTAAGAATAGCTTTTGATAGTTCTTCTCTGAACTGCGTGGCATCATTATGAATATTTGATGGTCTCTTACCTAAAGATAAAATATTGTATGATCACAGAGAAGTTTTTAAAAGGTGTAATTCACTTGAAGGCCAGGGGAACTCCTGACTACCTGCATTTCTAGACCTTCTGTGTAACTTATAACAGAAGTAGATCCTACTGTTTAATGAAAGCAGTGCAGTATGTTGACCTCTTCTATGGAACAGAAAAATTAATTGTTTAGAGTTAGTTTGAAATTCTGTTGTAAATGTTAGTTTGTTAAGATTTTATTACAACCTCTGCCTTTTTCTTACAGGTTATCCGCACATCTGGAAAGAACTACATTTTCTTTTTCCTGGGGGTAATCTTTTTATGTGCATTTTATCTCTTCAACCTGATTTTGGCTGTAGTAACTATGGCATATGAGGAGCAAAACAGAGCCACTCTTGCTGAAACAGAGGCAAAGGAAAAATTACTTCAGGAGGCCCAAACAATTCTAGAGAGGGAACAGGTTTGTAAATTATTATATATAATATATAATATATGGTTCCTTTTGTTTTCTTCTGTTTGTGAATTAGGGAAATAAGGTTTTTAATTAAACATATGCTTGCTTTCTTACAT